ACAGAATAGGGAACAGGATTCCTATTTAATGAAATAGTGCTGTGGAAACGGCTAGGCGTAAGGTAGGGAAACGCTGAAAACTTGCGATCTCTTCTTGCGACCTTATACAAAAATTAATTCAAGCATGGATTAGCAGACTTAAATGTTAGACTAAAAACTATAAAACCCTAGAATGGAAAACCGAGGCCAATTACCATTTCGAGACATGTAGGCATGGGCAAGGAACTTCATGTCTTAAAACACCAAAAGCATTGGCAATCAAAGCCAAAATGTGACACAATGGGGTTATTAAAACTAAAGAGCTGCGCACAGCAAAAGCAAAACTTACCATCAGAGTGACAGGCAACCTACATATAGATGGGGAGAAAATTTGTGCCATTCTACTCATCTGGACAAAGGGCCTATATCCAGAACTTACAAATGAACTCAAACATAATTTACCAGAAAAAAGCAACCCTATACAAAAGTGTGGCCAATGGATATGAACAGACAGCTTTCCTCAAAAGACAACATTTATGCACGAACATGAAAAATGCCTCGATCATCACTAGGCCATCAGAGAAATGCCCAAATCAAAACACAATGCAGATACCATCTCCACCAGTTAGAATTGTGATCATGTTAAAAAGTCAGGGACAACAGGTGTGCTGATTGAGGGATGTGGGGAAATAGGAAACACTGTTTACACGGTTGGGGTCAGGTACTGTAAACTAGTTCACCATTGTGGAAGACAAGTGTGGCGAATTCCTCAAGGATCTAGAAACTAGAATCTTGACCCAGGCCATCCCATTACTGGGTGACTATACGCAAAGGATTGATAAGATCCATGTGCTATTAAAAAGACTAATGCCACACATATGTTTTATTGGGCACTATCACAATAGCAAAGACTTGGAAACCACCCAAATGTCCATCAATGACAGACTGGATTACACTTAAGAAAATGTGGCACATATACACCATGGAATACTATGCAGCCATAAAAAAGGATGAGTTCGTGTCCTTTGCAGGGACATGGATGCAGTTGGAAACCATCATTCTCAGCAAACTATCACAAAACAGAAAATCAAACACTGCATGTTCTCACTCACAGGTGGGAATTGAACAATGAGAACACTTGGACACAGGAAGGGGAATGTCACACACTGGGACCTGTTGTGGGATGGGGGGAGGCGGGAGGAATAGCATTAGGAGACATACCTAATGTAAATGAGGAGTTAATGGGTGCAGCACACCAACATGGCACATGTATACATATGTAACAAACCTGCATGTTGTGTACATGTACCCTAGAACTTAAAGTATAATAAAAAGAAAAAAAAATGCAATGAATGGTTATAAGAAAATCTCTGAATAATCAAAGAATTTCTAAATTATTGTACCTCTCTGGCCTTGATTTTGATTGCTTTATCTATAAAATGAAAGAGGTGGGTTTTTTTGCTTTTTGTTTTTTTGTTTTTTGAGACACACTATGTTGCCCAGGCTAGAGTGGAGTACGGTGGCGTGATCTCGGCTCACTGCAACCTCAGCTGAAAGAGTTTCATACATTATCACTAAAGTCCTTTCCAGCCCCCAAATATTCCGTGGGCAGTTCATGGCAAGGTTGATACCAACAGGTACCTTTTGTAAGGCCATAAAGACTGGTTGACTTGTGAATCCGTAACTGAGGAAATAGAGCAAACTGGCCTGCATAAAATCTTGGGTTGCTTCCCAAGAGTCCATATGGACAATCGGGGAAATGGAAGACTGATGGACACCAAACCTAAGCCCAGGCCTGTTGGACATGTCCCATCACCTCCATCAATTTGGTTTCACTTTGCCTTCATTTTAATGCCTGACTGAAATTCCTATTCCCCTCCCCTTTTTCCCCAATTTTTTTTGAATCAGGCTTAACTTTCTAAAGCTTAAAAATTATAAAGCAAAAAACAGTATGAAAAAGGGGGGAGGGAAGGAGCTGTACTCACATAACTGTAGAATTGAAAGGAACATTGTGATGTTAAAGCCTCAAAAAGAGGCTGAACTACTGACTCCTCAGAGGGTCGACTGGTTTGAGCCACATACATTAGCACTTGCCTCCTCAGACTGATCTGTTTGTTGGTTGCTATGTGGATGGTGATAAAATATCCATTTGGATGGAGTCAAAAATTATATTACACTCTTACAGCACATCTGCAAATCCTGGCCTTTTGAACAAATGACCGCAGTATACCAGGCCTCTGTGCTGTCAGAAGCTGATTCCCAAATACCAACTTTGAACCTCGCCCTACCATATGGACTCATGGGGTCAATGAAAAATGGTGTCTGAGGGGCCCCAAAGCATGAGAAGTTCTGGCAAAAAGTGACAGGTTTTATCCAGGCTGCTGAAGAGAAATGTACTGAGACTAGAAAAGCTAAGGAGGTGCACGCCTTCAGAACGTGTCTGTAGATCAAAATACACCCTAACAGATTCTTGAGAGAGCCCCTGGCGGCTGTGTTAACCTTGGCATTGTTATCATTAAGAGGCTATGCTCATTTCTGGCACCTAACACTGGACATATTGACAGCAATGGGGTTGATGGAAGAGGAAAGAATCTGTTTTGCAGTTAAAAAAAAAAAAAAAAAACTTCTCAGGTTTCTCAAGCCATTTGAAATCACGCCAGAGAAATACTTGATTTCAGCATTCTTCAGCTCTCTGCGATGATGCCGCAAGTGGTGTCTCCCACATGTGATGATGTATTTCAGAGCCAGAGTTTTCTCAAGATGTTCCAAGCCTGCAGGCTCCTGATCCTTTTTCAAATTACCAAGATAATAGTATCCCAGTGAGAGTTGTGATTAGTCTAAACTCTCCACAGCTGTGAGAGATGAATGTACAAATTCCAATAAAGATTCTGCATGTTCTGGGCTGAATTTACCTACATGACATCGAGGCCTAATTCAGGGACCACTTAAAAGAACTGGAGCTGCTTCGGTGCGACTCCATTCTTCCATGACATCAGCTGCTAGGAGGCTTGCAACTGGCCCAGGAGGATGCCTTCCCTCATGCCAATGTCACCGCCCAGCAGTGGGTATTTGTCTAAAAGACCTGTAGTATGCAGGGGAGAGATGCAGGGAAGGGAAAATTAAACCTAAGTACCTGGGAATTGGAAGAAGCCTTGCAATTCATTATGTGAGTAGCCAGGGAGATTACAGGACACCTTGTAACTGAAGCAGTTGGCCTGGGACTGTGTGGGACAGCAGAACCAGCTGCCTCACCACTTCTAACTTATTTACAATGGTACTAGCAAGAAACCAGGCTCAGAAAGTTCTTCAGATACTTGGGAAAGACAACAGTGCTTTGATTTCCTAATTTGGACACCTTTTACCTAAAATACTTCCTTGAATACTAAATCAATGTAATAATACATGGCATGCCCCTTTACCATGTTTTTTGTTTTGTTTTTAAGACAGAGTCTCATTCTCTTGCCCAGGCTAAAGTTCAGTGGCACTATCTCAGCTCACTGCAGCCTCCACCTCCTGAGCTCAAGCCATCCTCCCACCTCAGTCTACCACGTACCTGGGACCACAGGAGCAGCGCCGCCACGCCTGGCCAATTTTTGTAATTTTTTTGTTAGAGACAGGGTTTTGCCATGTCACCTGGGCTAGTCTCAAACTCCTGGGCTCAAGTGATCCGCTGGGCTCAAGTGATTCGCCCACCTTGGCCTCCCAAAGGCTGGGATTACAGGCATGAGCCACCGCACCCAGTCCCCTTACCATGTTAATAATTGTATCACCTGGAGGCACTTGCCTATTCTTTATGAAATACCTGACACTCAGCATGCTTTCCATGACTAGGAAAGACAGGGGACAAGGATTCACGACATTGTCTACACACATTAACAATTACAGAGAAAGAAAGAAGATTGTTCAGAAAACAGAAAGTTATACCAAACGAATTTATAGCAGGGTTTTAAAAAAAAAAATGATCTAATAGAATTTCCATGAATGTAGAATCTTCTAAAGCCACACTACCTTCATCTTATAAATCCACATCCATTGTTTAGAGCCCACTGAATTTTATAACTGTGTAACTTTCTTACTCACATCTGGAGATTTTACTAGTGCACTGTAATTTTATACTTTATCACACAGCCACACACATATGTTACTCTTATGTGGCATGTGGCATTTCTCCTTGTAGACTCTGAACTCGACGTTTTACTCTCAGGGGCAAACCAGAAAGAGAACATGACTCAAGTCAGGAGACCCACCAGAGTTGAATGAGTCATAAATGAAATTCTCAAAATACCAAACTCTAGATGATCCATACATCCATTTTATTAAAACGGGAGTCGGCAGGACTGGAAAACCAAATTATCATATGTTCTCACTTGTAAGTAGGAGTTAATTTGTGGGTACGCAAAGGCATATAGAGTGGTATAATGGACACTGGAGACTCAGAAGAGAGGAGGACAGGTGGGGGGTAAAGGATAAGAATACTACCTATTGGAGGCTGGGCATGATGGCTCACGCCTGTAATCCCAGCACTTTGGGAGGCCGAGGCAGGCGGATCACTTGAGGTCAGGAGTTCAAAACCAGCCTGAACAACATGGAGAAACCCCGTCTCTACTAAAAATACAAAATTAGCCCGGCATGGTGGCACATGCCTGTAATCCCAGCTACACGGCAGGCTGAGGCAGGAGTATCACTTGAACCCAGGAAGCACAGGCTGTGGGCAACAAGAGTGAAACTCCATCTCGAAAAAAAAAAAAAAAAAAAAAGAACACTACCTATTGGGTACAATGTACACTACTCGGGTGGCAGGTGCACTAAAATTTCAGACTTCACCGCTATACAATTCATCCATGTAACCAAAAACTGCTTGTACCCCAAAACCTACTGAAAGTAAATAAAATCAATAAAATGAAATTTTAAAATATAAACGGAATAAATCATCCAATCAAAAGACCAGAAAAATGGGAGTAGAAGTGAGGGAAGGAGGGAACACACTGATTTTTGTCTAATAGTTACAAAAACAAAACAGAAATCCAGAAACATTTTCTCTTTTATTTTTTCACCATCTCTCATTGCAAATCTTCTATACGCTAGTAGATACTTTCAACATTGCTACAGATCTCCTCAGATTTCATCTTCTCAAGAGCAAAAGCAAATCATTAATGTAAGCCTGTTAAACTGGATGGCAACTATGCATGACTTCCCCTGGAACCATGTTGCAAGAACCGCTTTTTCAAGCAGTTTTTCCTTGTCTTTCTGCTGGAGGCTGGTTCTCGGTAAAATAGCCCAGCAAGGCAACTTGGAAAAAAACTTTAAAAAATTAATGAGTGAGAAATCATAGAATAAGTCAGGATTCTAGACAAATAACTAGTGTCCAAGTCCCCTCCTTGCCCTAACATTGTCTCCCCACCCTCTGGAGTTCTCTACTCTGACTACAAGGGTAACCAACACTATGTCTGGGGGCCTCTAGGATTCTACTTAAGCATCCTGGCAGTGTCTGATCTGAGTGGTCAATGCTCAATGTTGTTAAGTATTTTGCATAAAATGCTGATTTCCTGTGTGTGTAAATATATATATATGTGTGTTTATATGCATATATGTGGGGGTGGGGGTATATGCCAGGATTCTAATAGCTAAAACAAAGATTCAGAGACAATAACTAGAGCGGCCGTGCAGAAAAGGGGAGTGTTGCCTTGCTGGGAATATTCAAAGTTGGTCTGATGGTAACATGCAGTGTGCCACTAAATGACAACCATCTCCTAGGGATAAAAAGCCCTGCTTTGGCACATTTGCAATTTCCCTCATGTAAATAACACCCGCCGTGGCTCATTTCAAGCTTCCCAAGTGACATCACTGAATGGAAAGTTAAAGAGAGAAAGTCTTTCAGATGTAAATAATCTCAATTATATTTATAAATAATAGTAAAATGTAGTGGAATCACTAGAATGTGAATTTTGAGTATCGCATTTGCTTTTAATATAATGTAATTGCAAGTTTGCATAATTTAATATTTAATAATAGTTGCATTTAACAATTAGCTCCCAAAATCCTTGAAAATTTGTCCGTGGGTAGGAGTGAGCAGGTCCCATTCGCTCCAGCACACCACTACATGTTGCTCTTCAGGGACGTTAAAAGATACTTTGAACAAATCATCTGGATCAAACTATCTCCAGAGTCCCAAGGATGCCAAACTCTTTGCTATCCCACTTTAGAAATACCCAAAACACAGGTTAAACTGTGGATGGTATTTGTTAAGAATGCCATTAACAACACCTTACTCTTGTATCACGCTTTACACTTTTCAAAGTAGTACTTTTATGGCACGGTGGGACTGTCTGACCCTGCGGAGTGAATTTAAATCGCTGGGTAAATAGCTTCTTAATGTATAATGGGTGAAAAGAAAGTCCTGGGAGCCGTTTGTCAAAGAGAAAGACGAAGGAGTGGAACTGACAGTCCCATCAAGGAAGCTGGGAGACTGGTTGGCCCCCACCCGGTTCCTGGTTCTCTCCTGGAAATGGCTCCAACATTGTGCAAGCAGGTGGGTGTACAATAGTTTTGAGCACACATCTCTCCCTCTCTCAGATTTAATTAGAATTTCCCTTTTTTCCAACAAAGAGTTGGACCGGATACCTTCTAAGAGTTTTACAAACAGTAAAATGATAAGCGCCATAACATTCAAATATGCTCCTAACAGCTCAGTAATGGTTTCCTCCAAATCAAAACGTGCCTGTTATTGCAGCAGACGCTTGTGCAGACTCTACATGCATTCTCACCACAAACACTTACACCACCAGTAGTCGTGGCCGAGTGGTTAAGGCGATGGACTAGAAATCCATTGGGGTCTCCCCGCGCAGGTTCGAATCCTGCCGACTACGGAAACATCTGCTTTTTTTTCTTGCCATCAAACACTTTTTGTGTTTTAGAGCGTTCTGCTCGAACTTCCACAGATTTCAGGAATTTTCTAACCGTTGAAACACAACAGGGACCCAAACGGGACAGGAGAGAATGAAAGGGCGAGAAAGTGTGGTTGTGGTTACAACGTGGGCCCGGGAGAGGCAGACGGGACAAACCACGCCAGACGAGCTGAAAGGAAGAAACGCAAAGCATCGCGAGTCACACAGACACAGGGCAGAGACAGCTCCGAACTCCGTCCCCGCATGCGCCAGCCCCTCACAAACCCACCGCATTCTCTGCCGCGAGCCCTCGTGGGCGCCGGGTTGCCACGGGAAGCGGTGCGCATGCGCAGGGACGCCTAATGGAACGTGAGCCAGCCGGGTCCCCGCGTTACCCCTGGAAACCACCGGAGCCTGGCGATTCGAGGGGAAAACGCCAGGCGATTCAAGATGGCGGAGGACCTGGACGAGCTCTTGGATGAAGTCGAGTCCAAGTTTTGCACACCTGACCTTCTAAGACGGGGCGTGGTCGACCAGCCCAAAGGCTGCGACAGCGGCACACACAGTAGCGACCGGAACCAAGCCGAGGCGAAAGAGAATCTCAGGTTAACGGGGCGGGAGGGGTGGACATGCTGGCAAAGCCCTGCTCCAGGCCCTAAAGCTGCCCCTCCGCCGCCCAACCCAAAAGAAACGTGTCCGCGAACTCCAGCCCCTCCTTACATCACAGTTCAGCCCCTCAGCGCCCTATCCTCAGCGGCAGCGCACCCCTCGACCCTCTAAGCGGATTCTGGCATTTCTTCACTCAGCGCAGACTCCGCCCCTCGGCCGGCCGCAGAGAGCGGGTCCCGCCCTCCCACAGAGCCCGCGGCCTGTGCCTGTCGTCTTCACCCTATTTCTGCCTGCCAGAGCCTAGGAGGTTCTAGTCGGGGACCGGGATGCCCCTCAGGCGCCCCGTTCTTAACGCCGAGAAAGCTGTGCTGACCTCGGCCAGATTTTGCCTCTGTGTGGCCAAGCGGTTCTCATCTCCCTGTGAGGGGCCTGTTAGACAACTTCATCCCATAGACTCAGACCCCGCTCCCCAGGCCAATCCTAATTCTGTCTTTAGCTCAGTTTTGTTTTGTTTTTTGAGCTGGAGTCTCGCTCTGTCCTGTTGCCCAGGCTGGAGTGCAGTGGCACGATCGTAGCTCACTGCAGCCTCCAACTCCCCGGTTCAAACGATCCTCCCACCTCGGCCTACCGTAGCTGGGATTGCAGGCACGAGCTACCACGCCCGGCTAATTTGTATTTTTCGTAGAGACAGAGTCTCGCTGTGTTGGCCAGGCTGGTCTTGAACTCCTGAGCTGAAGCTGTACTCCCGCCTCTGCCTCCCCTAAGTGCTAGGATTACAGTTGTGAGCCATCGCACCTCAGTTTGTTTGTTTTTAACTCAGGGAGTTAAGATGAGATTAGATTCATGACAAAAGTGTTAATTATTGTGAACATTAAATCGTCTACCTTCCTTCTCTCCATGGCCCCCTAGTTAAGGGTCCCAGGCACACATATGGAAATTTAGGGACATTTCTTAAGTATTTTGGTTTTTGATCTAAAAAAACTACCTTTCAAATTTACCAGTCGTTTTTCCTCCATATAATTATTAATAGGACTTCCTTCACTTCCCCATTTACCCCACAATCCCTGAAAAAAACAATGTTTGCATCAGAGTATTGTCCTTCAGCAACTCTTGCTAGAATCTTTTGGAAATTGCCTCTTGCCTAGAATATTTTGGAAACGCTTGTGAAATTACAGGGAGGCAACCTTGTATCAATCTAAGAACGTCTTCTCCGTTAATTTTTTGGCTGCATCTTTGATTTGGTTTTGGTTTTTTTGGTGTGTGTATGTGTGATTTCCCAAAGTATTATCCAGCTCTGTTACTATCCAGTTCACCTGGCTTATCTCCAGTGACATTTATTTATAAAAATTCACTCTGCGAAGATAAAAGCATCGAAAAAATTCTAAAGGAGCACATAAACAAAATTTCTAAAAGTTAGTCGAGTTCTGAGCAACATTTTAAAACAAAAATTAGAGACAACTATAATTACTATGAATGGGCTAACACTCATTTGGCTGGATGTTGTAAATATCACTCTCATTAAGTTTTATTATCTTGTATATTGGAATTCTTTATGTGCCTATTAGTACATCTACCATCCGTATCCCACAACAGTTGTTGCTTTAGTACTTTTCATTTGTCCTGCTAGGGGATAGAGCCAATCTATCAAGGAGCTTTTCAGAGCTGTTCATCTTAGGAGAACTAGCATGCGGTGGGGCAGGATGTATTGAAGCAAGCTGCTCAAAATGGAAGGGACTATTTATGTGGATCTTCTCCAACCATGGGTTGTGTCATGCTTGCTCTACTAAAATTCATCCACAATGTTTCTAGTACCTCAGCCCACCTTAATACATTAGATTTTTTAGTACTAAATAACATAAAAGCCGTAGTGAACCAGTACTGTTGTCATTTATATTAAAACTTTTCATCTGGCAATGTAGTTGTAAATTGTACAAAAAACAGCAACAAAGGGCCTAAACCTTATACCAAATATAGTCCCAACCTGGTTTATAATGTTATATATTAAAATGTTTCCTTGAGCCAAAATTGATACTTAAAAGCTAGGAAGCAATTTATGTTTGAATTTATTAACAGGAGATTACCTACTAATTGTATAGCAGTGTAACCTGTATCTCTCATAAGAGTTAAAATACTGATATTACCTCCTAAAATGATAGCTTTGCAAATAATACTATAAATGACCATGCTACATCTGGATACCAGGAACAACTGCTAGTGTAAGGGGTCAAAACATGCAATTTGTTGAAGTGTTCAAAATGATAAAAAGAAATATGTGATTAGTAAAAAAAAGAAAAGACTGATGTGGGTTGAGAAGAACTGCAATAGGAATAAAGTGGTTCGGGATGATACAGATGGGAATATTTAAAGATAATATAGCTTTCTAGATGATAGCTATAACAGTCAACATTTATTGAGCTCTTTCTGTATGCTGAGTGCTTTATATATGTTATTTCATTTAATCTTCACAACCCCATGAGGTGAATACTGTTACCCCATTTCACTGACCAAATCAATGCTTAGTTACTTGCCTACAGTCATATTGCTAAATCACAAGGACATAGTACATCTAGATTTAAGGTTTGTATATATACCTCTCACATTTAATTATAGGTTTAAGTGTTTATATTTTATTTTGAATATACCTTTTATTTTCAGCAGAAACTATATCTTTAAAAGATTAGAATGTCAGAAACAGAGTCAGAGAGGGAACCAGTAAAAGCTTATTAACATTTGATTGAGATTATTATCACATCAGAAGACCAAAATACAGTCCTTTAAAATTATGAGTTCTCAATGAAATGTTGACTTTATTGTTATTACTTTAGCAAAGCATAGGCAAGTGTAGGCATTGTGAAATTGCGTGATCTAAGAACAGACCAGAATCTTATGTAAGCTGGTAATTTGGATCTGTAACAGTACTGATTAGGTTGGTGGAGTTTGGATGCATCTGATTCTTGAAATTGTGAAATTGCATGAGGGAGGATACCCCAGTGAGTATGTCCTGAAAGCCAAAGGAGAGAATTTTAAGAGGCCATCTTAGCAACCTCTTATCAAAAAAGAAATATAAGGAATTGGTACCCAACAGTGTCAGATGCTTCTGAAAGATTAAAGAGGATTGGAACTGAGAACCCCCATTATATTGTAGTGATTTGGGCAGTGGAAACCTTTGAGAGAAGAGTTTCACTATAGTTGAGGGATTAGAGGCCAGAAGTAGAATATTATACCTGAAAGAAATTTTAGTCATCTATGTATCATTTTTATAGATAAAATATTTGAGTTTCAGAGAGATTAAATAATTTAAACTAGGTCAGTAGCTCTAGACTGGTGATGATTTTGCCACCCAAGGGGCATTTGGCAATGTCTGGAGACTTTTTTTATTGTCACACCTGGGGAAGGGTGTGCTATTATTTAATAGCATCTAGTGGGTAGATGCTGTAAAACGTCCTGCAATATACAACAGTCTCCTGCCCCCACATACACACCCCAGAGAATTATCTGACCCAAAATGTCTGTCATTCCAAGGTTGAGAAACCCCTGTCTAGGATTAACACTCAGCTGATTCTAAATCTAGTCTACTTGTAAGGAAGTAGAAATCATGGATGTAGACTATTCTTCAGTAGTGAATAAGAAAGGGTGGCAGCTTTAAGAGAGGGGTTTTTCGAAGTGTCTCTTTGAAGAAGAAAGCCTTGAGCATACTTCTAAGTCAAAGGAAGAAACCAGTATACAGTGAAAGACGTTAAGGGTAAAAGTTACAGTACAACTGAAGAGGCTAAGCCTGGAGACAGATAGAATCAACCATGAGGTAGTGGGCAGCAGTCTCTTGCTTTTCTTATTTCAGGTTAAATTTTTTTACTCCAAGATGTAACGAAGAAGACCTATGTTAAAAATTGTCAGAATAAATACATTTCTGAAATTAGAGAGTTTGACTAAAAAACTTGTCTTCTAAAACAAATAATTTAATGAAGTTATAAAGTTGGTGTACAGCATCTACTTCATATAAACGCTAAAGAAAGTTAATGTTGTATAGTATGAAGTTAATGTTGTATAGTATGAAGTGCAGGGACTGCCCTAGATTCAATTCCAAGCCTTTTCTCCCACTATTTATATGACCTTGAACAGATATCTGAATCTCTCAGTGCCTTTTCTTCATCTATAAAATGGGGTTAAATAAAGATACACTCATGTAAAGACTAAGGACAATGCCTGGGTTATAGTAAGTATTCAGTAAATACTATTTAGCTATTAGCTATTTAGCATCAGCTATTAAATAGAAGTTCTGTGCAGTAGTGATTTGTATTAATAATCCAGTGATGACTTTGCCTGCAGAAGGTAGAGGTAGTTGAGTAGTTGAGATATTCTAAAAAATAGCACCTTTTTTTGGGGGTTGGGGGAGGGTGGTCATTTGATTACATGACCTTTGGCTCCTCTCATAAAGAGATATGGTTGACTTACAATGCAACCTTTGGGGAAAAGTCAGGAAGACTCTTAAAATTATCTTTGTTTATAATATCAGGTTCTGCTTATCATTGTACATATTTTGCATAAAATACATGCTTTATGTAATTTAGATAAGTACATACCCAGCTTCCTCTCGAATATAATGTATATAGTTTTAAATGTCTCAAGTATGTAATATCAAGTATGTAATAGTATAGAACATATGTGAATTTGTACCTGATAATATATATCTTTGTCTCAACGAACTTAGACTATATCCACAGTGAAAAAAATTAAAATCACTTTTATCTTTCTACCATCAACTCTAATAATGGACTTTAAGCAAAACTCTTCCTATACTAACTTTGTCTGCTCATAAACCTCAGGCAAGTTTTCTCTGCATATATTTTCTTTTCAGATCAACAGAAACATTTGAAAAAGAAGATGATCTTGACAGTCTTATTAATGAAATATTTGAAGAGCCCAACTTGGACAAAAAGCCCTCTGTAAGTCAAGTGTTATAAATATGTAGTAATTCTGTCATTATTTCAAGACATGTTTAGAATAGTCTTAAAGAAGACGCAAGTAGCTACCCATTATCTTTTGAATTCCGAGAAATATAATTACTTAAATTATTACACTTAAAGAGCTGTAGAAGCAGTAAAATATTAGAAACTCTCAGTATGTGTTTCCCTGTGCATTTCTCAGTAAGAATAACATATTAGAAAAGCTGTTAGCATAGAAGTCAACTCACACATCAAGCTAGTCACTTGTATTTATTTGTAGTTTCTAAGAACACTTTTCTAAAAGGCCAAAAACAAACAGCTTTCATTATAGGAATGTGCTTAGCACCTCACATGCAATGCCATTGCTCTTATCCCGTGAAGCAATGACTAAATTGTTAATATTTCAATTTTTTAAATGTTTATGTGTCTATTTTAGCTGCATAAAAAGTTCACAAAATAATATAACAGCAACCTATACACTGAACATACCATGACAGCCACCCATATTAAACATATATTAATGTTTTGCCATATTTGCTTCACTGGACCTTTTTTTAAAAAAAGAAGTGCAAATTAAAGATATAATTTAAGACCTCTCTAAATCCTACTCTATTGCCTTCCTTCCCAAAGATAACCATTTATCCTTTCCATCCATACATTTATACTTTTATTACATATGTATATAACCATAAACAGTTGTAACTGTGTACAGCAGTCCATTATATAACTGCCACAGTTTATCCACTTCCCTGATGATGGACATTTACATTGTGCTCAGTTGTTTGCTATTACAAATAATGCTTCATCAGATTTTTTTTTTTAATTGGAGAAAAGGCATACAAATTTTAACATGTACACAGGGAAAACCAGTGATTACTCCTTCATTAGATATCTTTACATGGCTTCTTTTACCCATATACAGAAGTTTCTCTAGGATGTATAAAGCTAGAAGAGGAATTCCTAGGTCATAAAGTGTGCTTATCTTCAACTCTACCCATTGCCAAATTGTTTTCCAAAGTGACTTTATCACTTAACGTTTTTCATACTGGGCAGTATATCAGAATTTATGTATTTTAATTTTTATCAGTATGGTGTGTGTCAAGCATATCTGTTAGATTTAAAAGAAAGATACAAAAATAGAAGTCTAATTTACAAAGATCACAAAAAAAATTAAGAAATAACTATAGTACCAGGGTTTTGTTTTTTAAAGGATAGGGAAGATAAAAGCAAAACAGTGGACTGAAAACATCTAGGTAATGGTTGTGGTAAGGATATGGATAGAGACCACTTATATTTTTGTCACCCAGACTAAAAATCAAATGACTAGTATAGATTTTAAGATCTGAATTTTTCAAAATTAAACTTTTCAATTCACCTGAAGTAAATTAATACACTAATGCCAAGTTGAATAATATGTAAACACAATAGCAATATTAAATATAGTCATTCCTTGGTATACTCAAGGGATTGGTTCCAGGAACCCCCCACATATACCAAAATCCATACATACTCAAGTTCCACAGTCAGCCTTACAGAACCCACCTATATGAAAAGTTAGCCCTCTGTATATGGGGCTTTGCATGCCACAGATACTGTATTTTTGATCCTTGTTTGGTTGGGAAAATTCCACATATAAGTGGACTTGTGCAGTTGAAACCCATGTTGTTCAAGGGTCACCTGTACCCTGCAAACAGAATACTTCCTAAGTACCAAGTAAGTGTGTAAGCACTGAATAGTAATGTCAATTTGTAGTACTAATTAATGGTAGAAAAAAATTACATCATTTTGTTGCTCTTCATTAATCGTCTGAACAATTCATTATTTATTAAGTACTATAGGGTGCATATCTGTTTATGAGGCGCTATCTTTTCAGTTAAGGTGTTTCAGAAGAAGATAAGTACTTCTCTGGCTTGGCTTTAAGATATACTAATTTGAAATAAAAGTAGCTCTTACAGTCATGAAGAAATAAATTTTTAAGCATGATCTTTTCCTTTCTTAGTTATGTATTATGTCCAGTTTTCCAGCCTTCAAAGGAGACAGCAGGTCTAAGTAAAACATTCATTGGGAAAAAAAACATTTAAGAAAAGAAACATTGATAAACAGATGGTCTATGCCAGTGTTGTCATTAGAGGCTATATTATGCCCTAAAAATACTACTGCCCCACCGCACCCCCAGCTCTCTCATTCTGTCGCATTTCTGAACTGTTCCCAGACCCACACAAGAAAGCCCAGGAACCAACAACGAACCTCAGAGTGTGCCAGCTTAGAGTCATAAGCATGAGTCTGGATGGCACATGAAACATGCTCCCCAAACAGAAAGATTCGTACATATTGTTATTTTTCAGACATGTACCAAAATTTTTTCCATTTCTGCTTAACATCAAATAAGAGTTGAGCGACATAGTAAAACAATATTTTCGCCTCTATTAAATTTCCTCATCCACTATGTAAAATGAAGGCACGACTCTGCATAGTTTAAATTGCCTTTTCTCCATCTCACTTCCTCTCCTTGGCGGTGGTCCTAGTGTGTGGTTAGTTTATGTTGTTTGGTACCATATACCAGTTAACACTTAATAAATGCTTGCTAATGATGATGATATTATGTAACCATATAGGAACTACTGTATGGTTGTGACTAGGTAGCTCTACATTTTTATTGTAGAACATTTATTGGTTGATACCATTCCATTTGATCAAAATTAATATTCCTGAAGTTACACAGGAGCTTGGTTAGTTCATATTTTAGTTCATATGACGCACATTCACAGCCTTTAAAAATGAGTCTGAGGTTTTTTTCCTCCTCAATTGAATTTTTCTAGAATGAAGTTTTAAATAGCAGGTCCTTCATATTAAATCATTGAACTGTAATATTAACTGAAGAGTTATAAAGTGACTCTAAATCTTAGCATGCTAATAATGGCAATATGTCAATTTCCTAGCCTAAAAGTTAGTAGAGTAATTTGCACATTCCTTAGGGACTTCTGCTTCCCTTTTGCCTTTAAAAGGTTTTGATCATTGTTTTTATTTCAGAAACTTAAAAATGATGCCATCAAAACGTGTATTTAAGTCATTTAGAAAATATTCTTGTTATAAGGAATATTAGTTTTCATGTTACAGTTTTCTAAGTTACTCGTGGCCTTTTATTGTTTTGCTTTTTTAACAGAAATTAAAATCTAAATCTTCAGGTAACACATCTGTCAGAGCTTCCATTCAAGGCCTTGGTAAAAGGTAAGTTGAGATTGCTTTGGTGACTTATACACACTATTGAGCAAACACTATGAGCATAATCTAGTAGATTTTGTTACCATTTAAACAGCAGTGACATTGAACAACAAAGCGTTGGTTGGCCTTCATGAGAAAGACCAATAGCAATATCTTCAGTGTTCTTATGGTCTATGACCCCCTTCATGTAAAGGAAATTAAATGGGGGATTATTGCTATTGTAAATAATTTTCTGCCATTTAAAAAAAGTGTGAACAGTTTCTCAAAATTAATGTTCTGTTATATTCTTCAGTATTTACTTTGTCCCTTACATTATTTGGCAAACACATTTTTCTTTTACTCATTTTAACTCCTTGAGTGTTCCTGAATGTACAGGTTATATCCAATAAAGCAGTGATCCTACAATAAATAGCTCTTCTTTGAAATGGTTGTCTTGCTAGGGAAAATAGACAATTTGATTACAAAAACATAAAGTCAATAAAACCAAAAATTTTTTAACATGGCCAATTAACTTCTCCTATTTTTTGTTATAACTTCATATTTTTGCATCTGTTGAACACATCTAGTTGCAGTCCGGTGTACCTTGGTGGAAGCTCTATTCCATGTGGGATTGGAACAAATATTTCATGGAGGTAGGTTGTCAGAAATGTATTATACTTTCTTACTAGGTTTTTTCCAAATGGATGCCCCGTTGTTAAAATGTAGTTCTTAACATCTTTGCATCAGTCTGTTTTATAAGGAGAGGTATTTTTATTAGCTAATCTAAGAATTCTTTGTTTTTTATTCTTGGGAGATAGCTATTGAAAGTTGTGATATTAGGTACGTGTTATTCATTTTATGCTCTTTTCTAAGCCCCACTTGAAATGCCTGGATCACTCCAGTCCCAGCTTTGTTTCCACAGGACACAGGAGAGTGAACTTCTTTCCAGGCAGTGGAAGCAAAGTGGCCATGCAGATACATGATGCCTTACCCACACGGCCTTGGCCAGTTAGCATGCAAAGCTACAGGTCTGCATTACCCAAAACATTCTCAAGCATAGTTGCTTGATTTCACATTTACATATTTCAAAAGCAGAAACCCTACATTCTTTGTCTCTTCCCTGCCCTTCCTACCTCTGTTTTCTCACTCAGTACCTCTTTCTGGGCAGTCTTATAGTCATGATGCCACCTACCCCAACCCCATGTTAGCCCCATAGTCCTAGCACATTCCATTGGCACTTTCATAATATGGGCAAACAGTTTGGCTTTAAGCAAACGCTACTCTCCTGCTGCTTTTGGTTCTATTTTTGGCAGAGGCCTACTTACCTAGCTTACTTTATTAAAATATTTTTATCTAGTTATTTCTAAAACACTTACTTTCTGTTAATTTTTTAAGAAAGAACGGCCTAAGTTATATGATTGCATGTTGACCACATTTCTGGAGGGATAACTGTTATATAGTCAAGCGTCACCAGCAAGGATACATTCTGAGAAATATGTCATTAGGTGACTTCCTCATGTACAAACATCATAGAGTGTACTTACACAAACCTAGATGATATAGCCTACTACAGACCTAGGCTAGGTGGTGTTCTAGCCTACTACACACTACTAGGCTACAAACCTGTGTAGCATGTAACTACACTGAATACTGTAGGCAGTGGTAACACAATGGTACATATTTGTGTATCTAAATATTAAAAAGGTACAGCAAAAATACATTCTAAAAGATTTTTCAAATGGTACAGCTGTATAGGGCACTTAGCATGAACCGAGCTTACAGGACTGGAAGTTGCTCTGGGTGAGTGAGTGAGTGAGTGGTGAGTGACTGTGAAAGCCTAGGACATTACGCTAGTGTAGACTTTATAAACACTGTAACTTAGGCTACACTAAGTTTACTTTAAAAAGTCTTTAATAATACTAACCTAAGCTTACTGAAACTTTTATAAACTTTTAACTTTTGATTCTTTTTTAATAGTAATTTAAAACACAAACACTGTACAGCTATACTAAAATATTTTCTTTCTTTGTATCCTTATTCATAAGCTTTTTTCAATTGTTTCATTGTTTTTTACTTTTTCAACTCTTTTGTTAAAAATGAAGACACAACACACACATTAGCCTAGGCCTATGCAGGGTCTGGATCATCCATGTCACTGTCCTGCACCTCCACATCTTGCCCCGCTGGAAGGTCTTCGTTGAGGGGGCTACAACATGCATGGGGCTGTCATCTCATAAAAACAGTGCCTTCTTCTGAAATACCTCCTGAAAGACCTGCCTGAGGCTGTTTTACAGTTAACTTTTTTTAATAAGTAGAAAGAGTACATTCTCAAATAATGATACAAAGTATAGTATAGTAAAATCATGAACTAGTAACATAGTTTATTATCATTATCAAGTGTTATGTACTATACATAATTGTATGCACTACTTTTATACAACTGGCAGCTCAGTAGGTTTGTTTACATCAGTATCACGGCAAACACATGAGTAAGCATTGTGCTATATAGGACAGCTATGATGTAACTAGGAATAGGAATTTTTCAGCTCTGTTATAATTCTGTAGGACCACTGTTGTATATATGGTCCATCATTGACCAAAACATCACTGTGGCAAATTAACTGTATTGAATAATAGAAGTGGGAGTTAAAAAAACATTGTTGGAGGATTGTGGTGGTGCCAGCCTACATCCAAGGACAATGCCCAGAAGGTAGGGCTATAGGACAAAGGTGAAATTAGGAGTCTGGAGAAGCCTTATATGGGAACACCAGGCAGCCAAAGGCTAATATAAATCCACTGGAATGTTAACCTGCTGTTAGAGCTATAAAGAATAATTAATAGTAATTGAATCATCATGTATCGAGGACTCTCTGTACAAAAAAATTAGAGCTACAAACTGCCTGTAGAGGTGAATTTAGTGTTGTTGCTATCAATCCTCAATTACCTGTCTCAACTCAGTTGGGACTTGTCTCCGTCATTTTCAGAGCCATGCCGCCTCTATTCCAGGGATCTATCAAGTCACCCATGAACCACAGCAGCAGTTTCCCAGTTAGCATCCACTTCCATCTTTTCTAGTATCACCCACATATAGCATTCAAGATAATATCCCTAAAATATTATTTTGAGTGCCTCTCCTCTATTCAGAAGGGAAGTGAGAGTTGCCATTTGTCTCACATTAACTCTAAACTTACTATTTGCTTTACCAAATTGTTATCCTTGTTGTTCCTCTTCTCTCTTTAGTTCCTTCAGCTCCAATTAAAGCCTGGGTCAGATATTCCACTTCCACTGGGACGCTTGTCATTCTGTACTTTCCACTTGCGTTTTTCTGCATCTCAGTATATTTACATTTATTCCCTGTCTGAAACAACACTCCCTTCTAATGCATGTCTCCTGCTGCCTTATCTGTTTAATTCACATACTGCAGATTGATTTTTCCATTTGAATTTTTTCCATTTTTTAAATCCATTGAATGCCCATGTCGTAAACTCTGTGTTAGGTTATCAATGAAAGGCAAAACATTGGCCAGTGAGGAACAAAGCAGCACATGCTTACTCCTGTGGCATGAAACGGAAGGGCTCTGATGACAGAATGCCTGAGTTCAGAGCCTCACTCTGCCACTTACAAGCTCTGAAGCCTTAAGAAGGGATGTTATCTTCTAAAACCTATTTCCTCACTCTTAAAAACTAAACATATTTCATGGAGATACTCTGAGGATTAAATGAAATAATACATGAAAACTATGCTTATGGTGGAAAAGACAGCTAGGTACTGCAGGCACACTGGGTTCTAATTAAGGTGTCTTTCTCATCCATTAGTCCTGCTTTCTTGTTATATCTCAGGGACTAGAATATTTATTCTACTACTAGTTTTCCATTTAATCTCAGGAAATACATACACTTATAGGTGCCTTCTGTTTTCATGAATGATCTTTTAAAAAATACATTCTGGTTTACTTCTAAAAAGTAAACATTTCGTTAAGATTTTCTTATGTATGAAATATTTTGTGTGTACTTTGATTTAGTTCTAGCACAGACAAAATCTATGCTAGATGGAATTTCAGTAAACCAAAGAACAGCCTGTTTTCATAGCTCAAGGCTCCTATCACATACTGTTAGTCCAAGTGGGATGCCAAAATCAATTATACCCCATTTCTGTCTCCTGCACAACTGTAAGAAGAGATACCAGTTGCATATATATGTGCAGGTAAATATTTGTATTCGCAGACTTTTTATTAGTTGCCCCTTTCATGACACACAATTTGCACCCATAGAAAGATAAACACATGTTCGTCTGCATATGCAACATTTTATGTGTGAAGTACTTTATACTGTCCAGAGCACTTTTTATATATACATATTGACTTACCTACTCCACAGGAGAAAAACCCAAGATGCCGATCAAGAATTTTTACCTCCATTTTATAAATGAAGAGATGGAGGTACTTGTGTTAAATTCGTCAAACATCTATTAATCACCTGGTAGGTCCTAAGGATTAAATGAACAAATTATGGTGAACAAATAAATGGACAGTTCCTGTCCTCCATAAGCTGTCAGTCTAGATAAGGAGATAGGCTTTAAATAGATATCCCACAAATAAGTATTTAATTTCCATTTGATATGTGACATAAAGGGAAAGTGTGGCATACTATAAGCATAAATAATGGGCACGCTAACTAATATGAAGGATCAAGGAATAATTCTCTGAGAAGATAAACCACAATATGAAAAATAAGTAGGAGTTAGGCAAAGAGAGGTGACTATTGGAGCCAGAGCACACACATGTTTAGAAGATCCCTGAGAAGGGGAGGAGCTGGGGGTGTTCCTCTGGTGGGAGGAACAGAGAGCATCTGGCCGTGCTGGAGCATAATGGGTAGGGAAAGAATGGCCGCTGAGGGGACTGGAGAGAGAGTGGAGGGACATTTGACTTAGGGTCCTGTAATCCTTTAGAGGATTTTGGGAAAAGTATGTCCTGTGTGCAATGGGCCAGATTTGTGTTTCTTAAAAAAGTCATGTCAGCTGCTGTGCAGAAAATGGCTTGGGAGTTGGAGGGGCAAGACAGGAAAGAGAAGATGGGAGTTGTGACCTGCGTGGTAGCAATGACTTAGGGAAAAGCTCAAATTTGAAGTATTTAGAATATAGAATTCACAGAATTCAGTGATTGACTAAGGAAGGTAAGAGAGAAAGTTGTTAAGAATGACTTCCAAATAATGTGCCTTGCTCAAGGTCATATCAATTATTACAAAGCAATGATTCAAGTTGGTTACTTGATACCTAATCCATTATGGTTTCTATTATACCACGTAGCAGAAAGCCATGTAATGTATGGGAAGAATCTTAGCTGATGTTGCTGTTGGAACTGCTGTTATCTTCAAACTGTCCAAACATCAAGTTTCTCTAGTCCCATTGTGTAGATCTGATAGGATTTAACAGAGAACCACAGTGTCTGGGCAGAAGATTATATTGGGTTAGATTTGGGGCATTCTTGTCATAAACATCTTTAAAATAGTGAATTCTACTTATTAGCTGGACAAAAGAACAAAGCTCTTGGTGACATGTGTGATTTCCTCTACATTTTAGAGGGAAAGACCTGACAGTTTGTCTTTCACTGGAGTCATGACTTTATATTAGATATGCTTTTATTTACATAGTTATGAAAGAGAAATACATTTCAGCCCTGAAAAGAAGTACTGATTTACATGGCCAGGGCATAAAGGAAATTGAATCTATCCTGCCTATTTGTGGTGTTTGTTTGATTTCTAGTTACAGCTCTGGTTTGAGGTAATGCTGAATGACTTTAGATTTTAGAAAAAGATTTGTCTTTCATTTGTTGATGGAAAGGGGAGAGAATAGTAGTAGGAAGCATGGTGGCAGTAATAAGTACTACAGATAAAATGAAGGCATTTTCAAACCAATTGAATTTTACTCTCAATTATTTTTTAAACTACTTGCAAGACTGGATTATTCCATAGACTGGTACTAATTATGATCTAATAGAGTAAATCGTAGCAGTGGAATGATTTCTTAGCTGCAAGTTAGTTTTATGTTTCTCAAAGGACAGTGTTTGTAGGAAAATGTGGTGGTGTGAATAGATTTGAATAAACTACTAAATTTTAAATTAAATTAAAAAGCTGTATTTAACATTATGGTTGAGATTTTACACATACAAAATGTCAGGAAATTCTAAATTATAGTTCCCACAACAGCAATAATTCAGCCAAATTGCACATGTGTATTAAGGCATTAAAGTTAACACTCTGTGCAATCATGTAATAAACTATGTATGCATAAGAAAGCAGGTCATAGTAACTTTGGGAACTATCATTTTGCATTTCCTGACTTGTACATTCAAAGTCTGAGTTCAAATGTGTACAAATGTAGTTGTTGAATTTCCAAATGTAGAAATGCAACTTCATAAATTGCTAACAGTTTGAAAGAAAATATGGACTTGCCTATGAAACTTGTATAGGTTTTAAATGTTTCATTATTATTATAGTTAATAGTATTTTTAGAAATACAAAGCATTTATTCTCAAAGAAACTTTCAGGCCAAAGGTATTTGCAGTTTTGAAATTAGCGTATCTGAACTTTGAAGGGAAATAAATGAAAAAAATCTAATGATGAGTTTGTTTTATTTTTTCATTACAGAAGTATTATGTGCTTACTGGAAGAATAAAAACAAAATTGAAACTTGTATAAAGAAAAAGATAATAATCTCCCTTCCTTCCCTTTATTCAACCACTCCTGATGCAACCAGTGTTACTGGGTAGTATGTAACTTTCTACATTTTGCTCCATGTTCTTATAAACTTCTAGCCACCTATATAGGAATTTATTGGGGGGGTCGTTTTTACAAAAATAGGATCATGCTATACGTGTTAGTGTGCACCTTGGTTCAGATATCCCTCCAGGTTAGTATATAACCTAGTTATCATGAGCATTGTTTATTTCTTCTCTCACTACAATCGAAGCTCTATGAATACAGAATCTCACTAGCACATACCAGACTCTCAATAAATATTTTTTAAGTGAGTGAATGAATGCATTATGCCAAGTTGTGAGGCAGCAAACAAATACAATCTTTTCCCAGCGCTTAATCAGCTTATCTGAGAAACAGATTCATTTCAATGTCATGTGACATATTCTTTGGTAGAGATATTCCTGAAAATTTCAGTAGGAAGGGAAGCATTTAAAGAAGTTAGCTTATGTGAAGATCTCCCTCAGACCTAATTTGAAAACCATGGAATTAAAAGATCTACAAATCTATTTTCTTTTGTATCTATATAATATATGTGTATGTTCAATGTACAAGATCGTAGTAAAATAGGTTTGTGCAAAAATTTAACCTTAAGGTTTAGACTGCAAATAATGCTTTAGTATAAATATTTATAATCAGATTAATCTGTACTTTTCTGTTGTTTATTCAGTAGTCTGTAATATGTGGTATATCCCATAAATAAATCACCGTGTCTTCACATTTAAAGATACCAATAATCTTTCATATACATTTTTTTTTTTCTGAACAGAGCATGTGACCATCTGCGTTGTATAGCCTGTGATTTCTTGGTAGTCAGCTATGATGACTATATGTGGGACAAATCATGTGATTATCTGTTTTTCAGGTATGTTACTAAAGAACTTCACTCTGAAAAAAGTACCAAGTACTTTATATTTCTTATTTTGATATATTCCGTCCGGGTGGATTCGGCCAGATCATGTGGGCTTCACCTCTTCCATATAGTCATGTGCTACATTATGATGCTTCAGTCAGCAATGGACTGCATACATATATACATGGTGGTTCCATAAGATTATAATGGAGTTGAAAAATTCCTATCACCTAGTGACATCATCGCCATTGTAATATTGTACTGCAATGCATTGCACATGTTTGCAGTGATGCTGGTATAAATAGTAACATGCTGTAGAGGTTTGTAGCCTATACCATGTAGCCTAGGTGTGTGGTAGGCTGTACCGTCTAGGTTTGTATAAGCTCAATCTGTGATATTCCCACAATGATGGAATTGCCTAACAAAGCATAAGCAATGCATGACTGTGTTTCTGTCATCCATCTCCTTCTCTCCATCTGCCTGCTGTCAGCCTAGATAAGGACATGTTACTTCTGGACAAGAATACAGAAGTAACCTCCTCACTGGTTTTTCTGCCTACAGTCTCTTCTTTCAGACCATCCTTCCCTTGTTCAGAATTAAAGCATAGCTCAGAGTATACTGTCCTACTGCTCAACACCCTTCCACCTACAGAATAATGTCCAAATTCCTTAGCATGGCGTTCACGACCCTCCATAATCCAGCTCCCATCCATCCATCATCCAGCTTTGTCTTCCCACAATGTATATTTCACCTTTGAAAGATTTTATTTACATGAGAGTACTCAAGGCTCCCATTGCCTCTGACTTGGTACAACCTCTTTACCTCCTAGGATGCCTTCCCACCATTTTATCTACCTAAACCCTACCTGTCCTTCAGAGTAAAGTTCATCACATGTCTTCCATGATTCTTTCACCACTCTCTCAACTGGAAGAAAACTCTTCCCTTCCTGTGTATTCACGGTGCTTTGAACCTATTATATACTGTAATATAAAACTGAAGCTTTTAGGTTGGTATATGACTACCTTTCTCCTTGTGACTGAGATAATGTCTTGCTCATATTTATATAATTTGCACATTCTTATACACTTACAGAATACCTAATATCTTTAAGGTGTTACAAGTTATAAAAATATATTTGAACTTTACATTGACATTTTCAATTAAAAATTTAAAGCTAAAAATTAATACAGTGTATTATTGCAGCACTTTTCAATAGCATAAAGAAAAGGGTAAGAGACTTTCCCCTACACCTCTTTTGGCAGCCATTCTTGCGTAAATCTATGAGTATACCCTAATTTAATAGTTGTTAAACTTTCTCACATCAAGAACCACTTTGAAAATCTTATGAAAACTTTGAATCCTCCTCATACATATACACACAATTCAAATATAAAAATACATGGAAAAATTATAACTTTAAAAATTTTACAGTTTCCAATCCAAATAAAGCCTAATGTATTCCCAAAATCTGAGGTCAGGAACCCATACTTTTAGGCTTAGCCCACTTTTTACCCTATAAGTGGAAAAGTTGGCTTTTAATTACAGGTTGACTTTTCCTTTTCTGACTTTTCTAAACCCTCTGCTATTTACTATCTACTAGTTAATCTAATAAGTGGCTAATAATCTCCATATGTCTCCAAGATGAAGCATGAATTTTTATAAAACTATCATAGGATAATAAAATGCATGTAACATCAAGACAGTGGTGAACACAGGCATAAAGTAAACTATGGATAACTTAGTTGGAACTTGAGGAACTTGCAGCATCTCAGAGTCATCAAGAATACCAGTTGGTTTACCCTAGATCTGTGGCAACCTGGTTTTAAAATATATGTATTTTTAGAAAAAACAGTGACAGCTAGAGGATTTATTATACTATTAAAAATAAACAAGTAGTCATTATTTAAATCAGTAGAAAATACTGTCTCAGTTTTCAAGACACTTAGGAATATCTCTGGGAGATAAGAGAATGGAACAGCTAAAGAATAAGGCTGTCTCCACCATCAAGATATAAATCATTGATATGATATTTATTTTGTACAGTATATTGGTGTTTACCAGTAGACATTATTCAGCACCTAGTCTATGACACTCTTAGATACTGGGCTCATAAGATGAGAGGAACCCAGGGGAAGGGAGACATGGGCGGGGACAAGCATGTGAGCAGCAAGTTAATAGAGACAATAAGGCCAAGAGCACTGATGGGAGGTGAGCCTTGGATAGGAAAAGGAAGACCTCTGTGACTGAGAGGAAGCCAGCAAGGTACTGATGTGTTCAGGGAGAGCTTGCCAGGAAATTGAAGGCTTTCATACCTAGTGACCTGGTTTTGAGAATGAAGATGTGATCTGCTGAAAATAAGAGAGTGGAGGAGGATGTGGAATAATCACTGAGGAAACCAGAAGTGGACAATGACCAAAGACAATTTACATATTACACAGTGGAATGCTGTTCAGTTGTTTTATTGTCCTATTTTACAGATGAGAGAAGTAAATGTATCCTAACTTTGAGAAATTTTAGAGCTTTTTTTTTTTTTTTGAGATGGAGTCTCGCTCTGTTGCCCAGGCTGGAGTGCAGTGGCGCAAACTCAGCTCACAGCTCACTGCAAGCTCCACCTCCCGGGTTCACGCCATTCTCCTGCCTCAGCCTCCCGAGTAGCTGGGACTACAGGTGCCCGCCACTACGCCCGGCTAATTTTTTGTATTTTTAGTAGAGACGGGGTTTCACTGTGTTAGCCAGGATGGTCTCGATCTCCTGCCTCCCAAAGTGCTGGGATTACAGGTGCGAGCCACTGCACCCGGCCTTTTTTTTTTTTTGAGCCAGTCTCGCAAGCCGGGTTGCCCAGGCTAGAGTGCGTGCTGCAATTTCAGCTCACTGCAGCCTCCACTCCCTGGATTCAAAGGATCCTCCGGCCTCAGCCTCTTGAGTAGCTAGGAATACAGGTGTGCGCTACCACATCCAGCTAATTTTGTAGAGATGAGGTCTCACCATGTTGCCCATGCTGGTCTCAAACTCCTGAGCTCAAGTGGTCCACCCACCTTGGCCCCCCAAAGTGCAGGGATTACAGGCATGACCCCCCACAGCCGGACAAGTTTTAGAACATTCTAAAAGAAGTGTAAGCTATACTTACCACCTTGCCACAACAGCTGAAGAAAATGCTTTTATTTTTCTGTTAAATCATGTGTTTTCTTTAAGGAATGGAATGATTTTTCCCTAAGCTTTTAAGATATGTGCATTTTAAAAAGCATTTTAAATGTCATAATTAGATCCCTGCCTATTCATGATTTCTAATCCTAAAATCTCTAAGGATTCAGTCAAGTATCAAATGTTAAGTTTTCAAAATATTTTGCAGATCAAATAAAGGACATTTTTCCTCAACAACCTAGTTTTGGCAGGGTTTTTTTCTTTCTGTTAAAATTTAGATTATTCATTTCTTCCCTTAGCTAAGTCGTTTAGCTGGTCAGTCTGTTTCCTGAAGTCAGACAGTTGGCTTGGAAAATCTCTCAGGTTTTGTGAGGTTCTAACCTAAATTGTGCCTGAATTTTGTACAGTGTAATACTGAATGTGGTGCCCATTGACCAGCAGAGGGCACTTTGTAGCCTGCCTTCTGTTGTAGTGATATCCACAAGTAGTGGTTAGGTACTGTATCTCTTTTTCCAGTATTCATACTGTATTTCATCCTTTCACTTTGTATTTTTTCATAATTTTTTAAATTTTTTTCCATTTTTCTTTGCCATGGAATGTTTATATGAACTCATTACATGGATTATCATGAAATCATAATTGATTTTTTTATTAATTAAACTTCTGTAGTCTTTTTTTATAGTAGTATCAAATCCAGTGGTTATCATTTTTACGATGGCCCTACTTGTTGATTTAATTATTTCAACATTATTAATATTTATTTCAGGATAGACTTTTTGTTGCTGATAGTATGAGTAAATAGATCATTGAAACTAATGAAAATTTTCTATAGTTAATTCATCAGAAACCTATGATCTTTATGCCTCTGATGTTCTCTCAACTTGCCATATTGCAGGCTTTTAAAATACAGCATAGGTGAGTATCTGAGGTAGGAGATGAACCACTATCCTTTCCATCCTATTTTCATATTATTTAATCTCTGATAGGATGTTCGTAATTCTTCAGCCCTTTAGGTTACTGTATTCCACAACAGTCAATAAACTGGCCTAGAGAATTGCCATAAAAAGTACAGATTATCAAAGAAATACCATCAGAAAGAGAACACCGAAGCATATCATCTAATGTTAGTGTGAGGGGATCTTGGTTGTTTAGTGTTCGGATACTGGGAAAATAAGAAAATAGGCTGGGCACCATGATTCATGCCTGCAATCTCAGCGCTTTGGGAGGCTGAGGTGGGTGGATCACTTGAGCCCAGGAGTTTGAGATCAACATGGACAACATACTGAGACCTCGTCTCTACAAAAAAAAAATTTTTAAGCCGGGCATAGTGGCACATGACTGTGGTCCCAGCTACTTGGAAGACTGAGGTAGAAGCCTGGGAGGTCAAGGCTGCAGTGAGCCATGATCGTGTCACTGCACTCCAGCCTGAGTAACAGTGAGACTCCTAAAAAAAAAAAAAAAAAGAAAGAAAAGAAAGCAATGACCTTTTTAAAAAAAAATTTTTTTTTTTAATCATTAAGCAGTGAACAAAGGCACTATGCTAAAACTTTCCTGTTTTACTGATAGGAACAACATGCCAGAATTCCACAAATTAAAAGCTAAGTTGGTAAAGAAGAAAGGAACACGGGCATATGCCTGCCAGTGTAGCTGGAGAACTATTGAAGAAGTGACTGACCTTCAGACAGATCATCAGCTTCGCTGGGTTTGTGGTAAACATTAAGAATGCAGACTGCACATTCGGACAGATGCATCCATGAGAGCGGTCTCCATGAATCATCATCATATTTAGACAATAGTCCCTAACAATACCATTCCCTGTGGGAAAAGGCAGTGAATTTTACTGATACAACTACATACATTTTTGAAGACCAAATGGACTAAGGAAGATAATGTATTATAACACTCTGGAATTATTCCTGATATATGGATGTTTCACTTTCTACATTCTTTACTAATATGACAGGCATCTACATTCTTTATTAATCTGTCTTCTGTTTAATAGAGGTTTGATTATGGAGTTCCATACAAATATCTAGTTTTTCATTAGCAGCTGCAATGTTGATTCTAATACGTTTAGCAAAACATTCCCCCACTTGTAGCAGTTAAAGTGGATAAAGCCAGCCAGGGCAAAGAGGTCATTTAGGAGTGTCTACAACACTCCAGTCAGATCTCTTGTTACCAAAGATCATAATTTAGACATGGCAGAAACCAGGTAATCAGTGGCTAACGGAAGGGTACTGAGGAGTAGTTACAGGTATTTTGCAAAAACACTGCCTCATGGCTGATCTTACCTCATGAACTCAAAGCAATGTTATGCACAATATTAAATATATGTTACTAGTTTTAGCTTACTTTTCCCTCTTTTGTTCATTTAACTATTAAAAGTTATTTTCTCTTTTGAATAACCAATAATATATAAAAAGAGTTTGATGCATCCAAAATCATAAAAATCCTAATACATACAGGTTATTGATGGATTTACCAAGTACTTTCTATCCTTTAATGCCTAAAACTCCATCAAGTGAAGTAAACAACAAGTAATATAATTTTTCAGGCAGCCTGTGGACTTTTGTGGTAGGATCAGGTTAACGTATCGTTTATTAGGTGAGTAAGTGAAAAGACAAAGCATAACTGAACCAGCAGGTAACCTATTGGGCTTCTTCCTGACATCACTGAGATCTGAGGAGCCCTACAATAGCAGCACATTCAGGAAATCAGATCCCTCAAAATTTCTAGTTCCCAACCCCATTGAGAGATTTTGGGAGCTTTCTAATCTGCCACAAACCCTCTGCTACGTATGTACTTATATAGTTTAAATGTGCGATACAGAGCACACTGAAAGGGAGTAATTGAAACAAAGTTATAATCTTCTTAGTCTTATGCTAAATTTATTCCAGCCACCCTACTGAAGGGAGGAAGATCTGATCATTAGAATCCTTTTCCTAGCCATGACATATTTACATACTTGTAAAATTTACTGTAGTAAGTCTAGCATTGCAACAGAATAGATCTTATAATGGCCAATCCTAATACTTTTGTATTAAGGATACCATGACAGACTAAGCATGGTGGCTAACGCCTGTAATCCCAGCACTTTGGGAGGCTGAGGAGGGCAGATCAGCTGAGGTCAGGAGTTCAAGACCAGCCTGGCTAACATGATAAAACACCATCTCTACTAAAAATACAAAAATTAGCTGGGCGTAGTGGTGCATGCCTGTAATCCCAACTACTCGGGAGGCTGAGGCAGGAAAATTTCTTGAACCTGGAAGGTGGAGGTTGTGGTGAGCCAAGGTTGCACTACTGCGCTCCAGCCTGGACAACAGAGTGAGACTCTGTCTCAAAAAAAAAAAAAAAAAAAAAAAAGGATATTATGACAGATTTTATCTTTTAATAAAAATGTATTATATCCCAAAAGTTTTATCTACATGTAATTGAGTCAGAAACCTAGGGGGATGTTGATTGAAGTCAACTGCTGGAAAAAAATAGCAGAGCAACAAGATGCACGCATTCAAAACCTCATAGAATTTGACACACTATTCATAATGGTGCAATCCTTTTTTATTCCAGTAAGCAAATTTACTAAATCACTAATTTGAAAAAAGAAATTTTTTTTGAGACAGAGTTTCACTCTGTTGCCAGTTTGGAGTGCAGTGGTGCGATCTCGGCTCACTGCAACCTCTGCCTCCCAGGTTCAAGTGATTCTCCTGCCTCAGCCTCCCGAGTAGCTGGGATTACAGGCACACGCCACCAAGCCCAGCTAATTTTTGTATTTTTAGTAGAGACAGGGTTTCACCATGTTGGCCAGGATGGTCTCCATCTCCTGACCTCGTGATCCGCCCACCTCGGCCTCCCAAAGTAACCTATATTGCCTCTACGTTGAAGGGACAAAGTTGTCCTGTTTTTTTCTTCTTTTATTATTTCATTATAACTATCCTAAAACGTACATACATTGCCTATGTTTGGCATTCCATAACATAATAATTATAATAATTGCCCAGTGTCAGAAATGTATGTGTGAGTTCCCATTTTTATTGGCAATTTATAAGCTTTTTAATATTGTACTATTTAAAACTAAAATGTAGAAAGAATATTATGTTTATATACAATCAGATAAATTATTAACTGTTGTAATTTAAGCTGAAAATGAAACTATTTTAGTAGAAGAAAAGTATAGTTTCTAATCATCTATAATTTTAAAATGTAAAGCCTATAAAACTTTCAAGATGTTTTGCCTATTTGTTTTTTAATATTTATAATAATTTTCTGTCTTTAGCAAGTAACTATTGTTAAGCCAGGTAACTTCTGTATTTGAATTGTATTTTACTCTCAGACCCTCATCCTGCCTAGAAATGAGTAATAAATAATTACTCTGTATTATTTACTTCTTTTATTTTATAGTAAAATATTCATTTGGATGGGTGTTAATTTGAAATCATTTTG